CAGATTACTGTACACTCTTTACCCTCATATAATGGTCTCTTGAGACAGTGTTTTCACAATGCAAAGTGTAATTTAAATAGTGTATTTAATATGAAGAAAATAATATATAATGTAAAAAATTATTTGTATAAATAATAAATAATAATTATAATTCAATATAATTTATAATATTGTATATATAATATATTATACTACATTATAAATTATATTTAAATTATTCATTTTAAATTTAATAATAATTATAATTGATTATTTGTTAATGAAAATATATATATATATTAATTTACTGTCTTTAAAGTAAAAATAGTTCAAATTTAATTAATATTATATATATTTGTATATTAACAAATATATGCTATATTTTACATTATATTTAATAAATATAATTAATTAATTAAATTTTTAATGTAGTAATAATAATAATAATTATGATTATGTTTATATATATATTTATAAATGTAATACACGTTTATATATTATTAATTATATTTTTATACACACACACACACACACACACACACACATAAGCAGAATATAATTAATAAGCAGAATGCACAACTCTTCCGTTCTTTAATTTACTTACTCTTCAAACTCGGTTCATCCAGTCAGAATTTTTAATAGCAATTACAGTATAATTTATAATATATCATTTTATAATTTAATAGTTTTCAAGAGCTGCTTTTTTTGTTTTATGTTGTCTAGCCAATGATGACATACTGAATCCAGAGAACGACACCATCGGTATTCTGGTTAGCACTGCAGTGGACATTACCATAGGAATCAGAAACCTCAAACCTGCAGGTAAATACAACTTCACGCACACTGTATGTGACTCAGGGACAGGCAGACGTCTGCTTCTGCATGGGTCCACATGGAGGCCCTTTGAATCAGATAAATAGCACAGCTTATGTGTGCAAACAAAGGCAAGATCAAATGTGGGATTTGAGATGATGAATCAGTAGCTTAATTAAGAAATTCATCATAACTAATAGACAGTCAACAGCTGTGTTTAAATACTTGATCTCTCTCAGTACAATAAATCCTGAAACATTTTGCCATTTTTGACTTAAACCTTTTCAAATCGACAGTGATATGCTGCGCTTCTTCACTGAGCTCATGATCATCCTGTTACGTCAGGATTACCTGACATGTGGATTAGAAGAGATAAGTGCTGCTTTATGAATCGGGCTTTAGAAGAATGACATATTCTGCTCTGAACATTGTTGAAAAGTCAACTCTGGTGAATTATGTCGATGTAAATATGTCACCAAAGTTAAAGTGCCCCTATAATGCCATTTTTAAGGTTCCTAATATTGTTTTGGGAGTCTCCTACAATAGGTTTACATGCATGTCAAACAACGCTTTAGTTTTCTCAAAATATGCATTTAATATCACCTCATTTTACAGCAATTCTCAAATGATTTGTCTGAAGCAGTTCAAAGATTCAGTCTCTCTAAAGCACTCCTTTCAGTGAGCCTACTCTGCTCTGAGCGTGCGTGCGTGCGTGCGTGCGTGTACATCAGGGCCTCTGAGACCTGGGAGGAAAATCCAGAGCCGTTTAATGCTAGTTATTACCGTCGCAGTCTGGACAACAAGGGCTACATCTTCAGAGCCCCCTACCGCACCGGTGAGTGAGAAACACACATCAGATGACTGTACACTCTTTACCCTCATATAATGGTCTCTTGAGACAGTGTTTTCACAATGCAAAGTGTAATTTAAATAGTGTATTTAATATGAAGAAAATAATATATAATGTAAAAAATTATTTGTATAAATAATAAATAATAATTATAATTCAATATAATTTATAATATTGTATAGAATTATGTCGATGTAAATATGTCACCAAAGTTAAAGTGCCCCTATAATGCCATTTTTAAGGTTCCTAATATTGTTTTGGGAGTCTCCTACAATAGGTTTACATGCATGTCAAACAACGCTTTAGTTTTCTCAAAATATGCATTTAATATCACCTCATTTTACAGCAATTCTCAAATGATTTGTCTGAAGCAGTTCAAAGATTCAGTCTCTCTAAAGCACTCCTTTCAGTGAGCCTACTCTGCTCTGATTGGTCAGATGGCCCAGTCTGTTGTGATTGATCTACCGCGTACAGCGCGTGTCAGAAATAATACACCCATTTCCATAGTTCCGTATGTTGAACGCTCGATAGAAAATATGAACATCTATTGTTTATTATACTTACAGGTTGTGATTCAGTAGAGCAGCTGGTCCAAATAAACTGGGTACTGAGCTATCTTTCAAGAGCAAGCATTTTGTGAATCCTGCGTTGAACTCCCCGAGATTAGAGAAGCAGTCGTCAGTCAAATGACGTGTTTGTGGGCGGGGTCAAGTTGTTCACGGCCGGCCAATGTAGAACATAGGTGTGCATTATGCAAATGTGTTGCCCCGTGACGTGTAGCCGTCACAGAAGTGGGATTCGAATTACTAACGACTCGTTCAGGCTGTTCAGAGTTGATTCTTTCTTTTTGGAGACAATAACTTTATTTATCATGCACCTTCAGCTTTTCAACTTTGCAGATCGTTTACATTCATATAGTTACATTACACACTGCATGAAAGGCAATATTCGAAATGGCATAATAGGGGCACTTTAAACTGATCTAGATGATAACACAGATTAGGTTGAAAATCAGACAAATCAGAAATGCTTTGCACGAGTGTATGTATAATATATATTATTTTTATTCGATTTTATTCATCTTTCTATTATTATATTTGTAGATAAAATATTTCTTTTTTGAATAAATGCTGTTCTCTGCAACTTTTTATTCATCAAAGAATCCAGACAATTCACAGGTCCGAAAAAGCAGCACAACTGTTTCCAACATTGATAATAAATCAGCATATTAGAATAATTTCTAAAGGATGTGACACTGAAGACTGGAGAAAAAAATGGTGGCAGGGCATGTAAAATTGTGAACTAACTAATAATGATTAAAATAAAAAAAAGTACAATATATTGTTCATGTAAAAGGAACAGTTGCAAAAGCATTTTAATTGTAAGGTGAGTGGAAAATGGTGAAATGGTGAAGACCACAGGTTTTAGGGTTTCTCTTTTCATTCTGTTTCCATCTTATATTCTCTTAGTTGTGGGTGTGAAGCTTGACCTTGAGGCTTGGACTGACAAATTCAAGATCCTGGCGAGCAACCACACCAACAGCAACCGACAGAGCTCTCAAACGGTAAACTGCACGCACACACACATCTATGGCTATACACAAGCACATGCTGCTCTAAATACTGTTGTTTCTGTCTGACAGTGTGGACCAACCAGTGGCTGTGAAATGGACTGTGAAGCCAACAGTGATGTAAGAGACTCTTAATGCACTTAATACAGAGATCTAAAGCTCACATCCTTCTTTTCAGAGTTTGTCCGTTAAGTGTAGCCGATTGATCTAGTGATTTTCTATTCAAATGACTGATTAATGATGGCAGCAGTAATGCGATCACTTGAAGCTGTCCGTCTTTCTTCGCAGGACTTGCTTTGTTATCTGATAGATGACGGCGGCTTCCTCGTCATGTCCAATCAGAAAGACTACTTGAATAAGGTCAGGACGTTCAACAGGAAAGTGAAGTGAAAACAGACTGTTTGCTTCTGTTTTACACTCTGTGCTCTTCCTCTTCAATCTGTAGATCGGGATGTTCTTCGGCGAGGTCGATGCCACCCTGTTTTACGCCCTCTATAACAACTCCTTCTACAAACGCAAGCAGTCTTACAACTATCAGTCGTTGTGTGACCCCGTGCCCAGCAGCAACACAGGGGCCGCCCCGCGAGGAGTGTTTGTGGTACGAGCGTGGATGGACGGGATAAGTCAATGCCTACGTTAACATGCATCCTAATAATCTGATTCAAATCTTAACCAGACACCTCAATCAATCCAAATGAAATCTAATTGAAAGGGCTGGTATAGATTTTAAGCAATCTGTTAAAAATGAAAATTGAATAAATGGATAGATGAATAGGTGGATAAAGAGATGTGTGCATAGGGTAGGTGAGTATTTGGATGGATGATGAACTGTGGCATGATCAAATGTCATGTGTTTCCTCTCAGCCTACTATTGCTGATGTGTTAAATGTTGCCTGGTGGACGTCAGCCGCTGCCTGGTGAGTTTCTGTCTTACAGTCAATTATAATGTCTGATCTCAGTGATGTAGCAGCTTGTAAACATGTGCAAACATCATAGGCTCACACTCAGGAATTTGTGTGTGTCTTAAATTGAGGTCCCCATGGGGAAACAAGCTTATAAATCATACAGAATGAGTTTTTTTGAGAATGTAAAAATGCAGGAAGTTTTCTGTGAGGGGTATGTTTAGGTGCAGGGCGATAGAATATACGGTTTGTACAGTATAAAAATTATTTACGCCATTACGCCTATGGAGAGTCACCACAAGGATAGTAAACCAGATGTACGTGTGTGTGTGTGTGTTGTCCTCTATAGGTCACTGCTGCAGCAGATGCTGTATGGATTCGCCTATCAGAGTTGGTTCATGACAGGTGTGTGACGTTTACATTGATTTGAAAAGGTCATTGTTTAAGTGGATCAATAAGAAGACTAGTCTAACGTGTGTTAAAGTGGTCATATGATGCGTTTTCAAGTTTTCCTTTCTCTTTGGAGTGTTACAAGCTGATTGTGCATAGATAAGATCCCTGAAGTTGCAAAGACTAAAGTCTCAAAACCAAAGAGATAGTCTTTATCAAAGTTAAGACTCTGCCACGCCCCCCTAAAATGGCTCGTTCTAACACGCCCCCACATATCTACCTCACTAGATGAGGTGGATGCTGAAGGAATGGTGTCTAGAGCGACCAGCTGTGTGACGGTACAGACACAGTTTTACTTCAGTAACATCAGCAGCTCCTACAACATACTGCAGGACTGTGATAACTGCTCCAGGTCAGACACACAGCAGTCATGCAGGCAGTATACATCATATATATACAGACTACAGGCTGTTTTTAATAATAATGTGTCTGTTTTACAGGTTAATTCATGCTAGGAGAATAAACAACACCAACCTGCTGTTTGTGGTGGCTGAAAAACTGTCCTGCGACTCCTGTGAAATAGAGAAACTGTCTCAGGTGGAAACAGAATGTATCCTTACCCATAAATGTGCATTTCATGCATTGGTTTTAATTTCTGAAATTTTAATGCAATGTACGCTGCTGTTCAAAAGTTTGGGGTTGGTTGCATTTATCTGATCAAAAAAAATATTTGGAAATATTATTGCAACTTAAATATATACTAATGTATGTTTTCTGAATAATATATTTTACTATGTAATTTATTCCTGTGATGCAAAGCTGAATTTTCAGCATCATTACTCCAGTCTTCAGTGTCACATGATCCTTCAGAAACAGAAATCATTCTAATATGCTGATTTGCTGCTCAAAAACATTTCTGATTATTATCAATGTTAAAAAAAAACTGTGCAAACTGTGATACATTCTATTTTTCTCGATTGTTTTGATGAATAAACATATTAATTTCCTTCCAAAAAAAAAAATCTTACTAACCCCAAATTTTTGAACGGTAGTGTAAATTTGCAAAAAACAAAAATTTTTCTTAACACCCTCCGTTTCTCAGACAAGGAAATTAATACATGCGAGACAATAGCCACAGCCCGGTATAGAAAAGGAACCACGAGCTGTTTCGACTACAGTGTTTTAGTGAGTACACATGCACATTTCCACTTGTTTATTCAAAGAAATCTTTCTGGAATATTTACAGTTGAATGTCTATGGATGGCATAATGAGCTCTGTAAACCCCGCCCACATGAATAACATCAGTAATGTATAACCTAGACTGTTTAAGTAGCAAATAAATTAGAATTAGAATACGTGCCTAAACAAAAATGAGTTTAACAATCCTGCATTTAAAGCCACCAGAAGACTTGTAAGTGCATTAATGGAGACACATTTCTCTATTTCTCTTCCAGGAGAACACATCAGACTGTGGGCGGGGTCACTCGTTCCGCCCCTCCCTCCTCACTTTACTCCTCCTCCAGCTCCTCCTCCTGTGTGTTCTGGCCCACCCCTCTGTTTAAATCCATCCTCCTGTCCTCCTGTCCTCCTCTCCCTAATTCCGCTTTTCTCCTTTATCTCCCCGTTGCTCTAGTCATAGGTAATATAATGGGACTTCCTCTTGCCCTTATACGGAAGTCCAGTCGTGCTGCTTCATCCACTTAGCTTCACAGGTTGTTGCTTAGTGACCGTTGCAGAACTTTGTCATCTCCTGCCAATCAAGAGCATTTGTGGAAGGAGCTAAAAGTGTCTTTGCGAAAACAGGAAGCTAGCGATGTGGAAACCGACGGCCATCTTGGACCATTGAAGAAATGGTGGAAAATGACATGGACTGTTCCCTCCTGCCTTTGCGGCTGTAAGGGGGTTGGGTTTTGTTTGACTCCGCCTCTAAAGGGAAAGGTCATCCTCATCATCCTCATCTTCATTCTGTAACCCGTGTCGCGAGGCTACGGGACATTCTAACACCATCTAGCTTCCGGTAATAAGAAAATAACCGAATAAGAACAGAACTTTAAGTGATTGTCAAAAAAGTATCAATAACAACATGTGAGTATTAAAAACATACCTCCATATATTAGGGTATTTAATGAGAAAGGGAAGATGATAGATGTTATTTATTCAGTTATCTTTTGTTTATTTATGCACTATATCTACTTCTTGCCAAAACGAGACTTGTTGTGTGGTCTAACTTTTCTAGCCAAATTAGGAGGTAAGAAAACCACAGAAAAAGAAAGTAGTGAAATTAAAGAGGTATCGCACCATTCCTTCATCAGTCACAAGGGCTTCATATATTTATTATTTATATTTATATCACAACCCTGATCCGATTAGGTTAGGCTTTTTATTTGTGTTTATTATTTGTATCACAAGGTAAACTATATTAATGCCTCAGTAATATAATATTTGCAGCTAATATGTAATAACATGTTCATTTTTAAAGGACTAGTTCACCCAAAAATGACAATTTTGTTTGATTTATTCACCCTCATGCCGTTCCAAACCTGTTTGCTGTTATTGTTTCACCAATGAGAAATTTTTAAGAATCAGGATAGTGACCATGATTTCCAGCTCCAAAAAAAAAGTATCATAAAAGCAGTCAGCATGAAGTTGTCTAAAGTCAAACGATGACAGGCATGGTCACTGTGAACTGTTATTGAATGGAAAACATTTAGGTGAACTGTTCCTTTAAATAAGATGAGATGTGCTAATGAAGAGATTTTTGATGGATTGAAATGCAGTTTGAGTGTTTTTTAGCGATGATATCTGTTTGCAGTCTTTGTAATTCTGTGCTGTACAGTTTTTCACAATCTCAGAATGTTAACCACATATTGCATCTGATCACTTCACAACACATGCTGTTTGTTTGCGCCATCATTTGCACTGATGGATTTGGCTGTGAATAGTAATAGCAACCATGATCCTAGACAATATGGTCATTCATGTAGAAGAGAAATGTTTTATTTTTCATATGTACGTAAGGCCCAAAACATACTCAATGCAAACATTTCTAGATATGTAGGCTGGATTAAATGTTAAATAATGTGCCGATGCAATTGAAGCATTTGCGTCTGCTTGCATACTTGTATAGAGTATGTGTTTCAGGCCTCATTATCTGTTATGACATTATATCTTATGTTGAAATGTTAAAGGGGTCATATGATGTTGCTAAAAATAACATTATTTGGTGTAATGCAATGTGTTTATGCGGTTTAAGGTTCAAAAAACACATTATATTGAAATTGCATCATATGACCTCTTTAATAATGCTATGAAACTTAAGCAAAAATCCTTGTTTTGGGCCCTGCATCAACCTTCTTTTAGCTTCTTTTAGCACTTTTATATTGGACAGCATTGATCATAGAGCTCCACTAACAGTTTAGTGCAGTAAAAGTCTTTTATGGGCCTTAAAACTCACAGGTTGTGTTTGACATAGAATACTATCATACTACATACTATATTCTTCATGCTATTAAAAAAAAAAAAACGCATTAATGTTCACTAATGAACATTTTTATGATTTGTCCTGGTCCCGTGATTGCTTGGATGACTAACTATATTTGTCAAAATAAGCATTACAATAAATGGAATACAATATTTACCATGATTAGCCGCGGCCTATTAAGAAAACTGTTATTTTGCCTTTTTACCAAATTTTGTTTAAAAATGTCTGGTCAAATAATCAAGTCAAGAGTGAAATAGTCACAGTTGATATTGCTTCCGGTCATTCATCACACTGGAAATGGCAGGTCAAGTTGAGTGCATTGCATTGTGGGATACTGTATTCAGTATTCCATGTGATGTAATGTGCATTTTGATAAATGTAGTTGCTCTTCAAGTATTCTACACATCTGGAAAACCTGCATCCTGTGTGCAATGTGCATACAGCAGAAATAGTATGGTTAGTATTCTAGTATGCTATTCCGGACACAGCTCGTGCCTCCAAACATCATCACCTGACTGATATAAGGCAATGCAAATTTTGTTTTTTTTTAATTTAGAGTATTTTTGAGCCGCAGTGTTTGCCATAACCTTCAGCTTCATCCCTGCAATGTACACAAACTTGACAAGCATCTTTATTTTGTCAGTAAACGGGGCTAAATCTGAACCTCACTGACTGATTCTCAGTTGCACGTTTGGCATTTTAGTGGCCATCACCTTCAATGCTCCTTTAAAGTTCAGTGGCAAGAGGTTTAAGGACGGCCCATCGGTTTTAGGATTGTCTTTGTAAGACTTTTTCATGCATTCAATCCTACTGCTAAGCTGCTACCGAGTTTTAGTAAAGTAGGTGTTGAGGTTGAACTGACAGCTCTACATAACCTCAGTCCATCTCTGGCTTCACAACGGAGGCAGTTTGGTTATAGCGTTCCTCATTCCCAAATATGGGAATGGCTTTACTGCTGTAGTTTATATAAAGTTTATTCAAGGTTTGCTGATGGTTGAGGAAGTGAATCTGTGTTTGCCGTTATGTGACATAACTGTGAAAATAGATGATTTTACGAGAAGTATTTTGAGAGTATTGTCAGTTGTTGGTGTGGAAGGAATGATCTGATCTGTGTCAAACGAATGTTACATATTTGTCTGTCTCGAGGCAAAATCTGTTAAAAGCCTGTTTTATTTGCCTGTGCAATTTTAAAAGACAGCACTTAACATGTTAATCATTCCCTCTCTCTGTCTGTTTTAAGTTAGTTCACCCGAAATGTATCATTTATTCACCCTCATGTCATTCCAAACCTGTATGACATTCATTCGTCTGTATGAAAACGAATGTTTGGAAAGGACATCTCCATTTGTTTTATGAATGAAAGAAACTCATACATGCCATAAGGGTGAGTAAATGAGAATTCAGTTTGGGTGATCTATTATCTGTCAGGATGTCATGAATTTTAAACACACCTTATTTGAGAGGTGAAAATGCATGTGTGATGCTAGAGGACATGATTCTTACGTCACTTAGTTTGTTTGTCATCCACCTTCAGAACTAATTGGTTAAAGAGAAAATGAGGTATATATGTTAAGCTTGATTCAGTGGACTGTACATATCACTAATATTTTAACTTGAATGCAATCCTCATCCTGACACTGTCACATGTGACTCCTGTTTATAACCCACATCCTGATTGGATTTATGAATCCATCTACAGTATGAATATATATTTTAGACCCCATTGAGTCCTAGAAATGGGAAAAACACAAATTCTGAAATACAAGTGCAATGTCATATGTGGTACTGTAAACGGGAAAAAAAAAGTTTTAAAAAGACTGTTTAAGCTTCAGTATGATGTGCTAAGTTTAAGGGATAGTTCACCCAAAAATAAAAAATTCATAATTTACTCACCCTCAGGTTTTTCCAAACCCGATTATAGGCAAAATATAAGTGCGTTTCCATACAAAACCATAATAAAAATATAGCAACCAGGGGCTTTCGAGCTCCTAAAAGGACATAATGCTCCATAAAAATATTATAGAGGCTGTCCATATGTCTTGTGCACTATATTACAAATCACTAAGAAGAATTGAAGTTATTCAGTAAAAAAATGTATAATCTCAAATTTGAATTTGTGTGCATTCAAATGGTTTGGATTGACATGAGAGTGAGTAAGTGATGACATAATCTTAATTTCTGGGTGAACAATCCCTCTAACTCAGTGGTTCCCAACCCTGGTCCTGGAGGCACCCCAACACTGCACATTTTGCATGTCTCCTTTCTCTGACACACCAATTTCAGGTCTTGAAGTCTCTACTAATGAGCTGATGACCTGAATCAGCTGTGTTTGATTAAGGAGACATGCAAAACGTGCAGTGTTGAAGTGCCTCCAGGACCAGGGTTGGGAACCACTGCTCTAACTCACAACTTTAATGTTGAAACATGTTAAACGGCTAATGTGTACCTCTTTCTTTGCCTGATTATGGAAACAATCTGCTATTTCATTTCATATCAGGGCAAAGAGCGCTCCGAAAGGTGGAAATATGCCTTGTTCTTTACTCTGGTGAGTTGTTTTAAAACTTTGCCACTTTTTTATTCTTGTTTTTTATTTTTGGGGGGAAAGTGTATAATTGTCTTAAAACTGGAACACTGTCGATGTACAGGGGCACTGAACTGCCCAAATTAGGGAAACACATTTTGGCAAGACACTGCGATTAAATGATCATGTGTGTCGGTCTTGTGTCACAATTCCAAGTACACTGTGGAACAAAAGTCCTTGTTATTAAATGGTCTGAAAGATTTGCTTTTGCCAAAAAAAAAAAGAGAAAAAAATAGTATTCAAAAAGAAAAGCTAAAAGAGGAAGCAGCTTGCGCACGGGGAGGGGCCTGATGTATAACCCGCCCACTGGGAGGAGTCATTAGCTCAGACCCTCCCCCTCCAAAGCAACATCATTGTAGGCACGTTTCCATCAGCGAGACGTGTGTATGTGATTCCGTAGTCTTTAGTCTGGTGCTCCGTGACTAATGTGTACAAAAAATATATATATTAAAAAAAACGTACAAACGAGAAACTGAATTTAACACGAGTGAGGTTTTAAAATGTATTAACAATAAATAAAAAAAATAGAAACACAGTACTGCTGATAATACTCATGAGTTGAGCTCTGAAATCATGGTGAGCGTTTTTCTTTCGTTCGTTTATTGGATTGTGTGTCGGGGGCTCAGTGCCTCGTCTCTGGGTCCATGTTGCTCCATTTTTTTGTACAGACAAAAAAAGACAAGGGAAAATTTGTAAAATATTGTGTCTGTGACTCCTTGTAAAATATTTTCAAATTGTTTATTACAGAGAATCAGTTATTAAATAATGTTCATATTTTTCACTTCAGTGCATTGTGTAGTGGTTATTTTTCTGATGCAATCAACATGTTTTCAATGCTCATTAGAGATACATAAACACGTGAATGTGATTCGAAGTCATTGGTCCCAATTTTAACACGCGTGGCATCATAATACTGTACTACATTCATAAGACGTGCTTAAAATATATTTAATGATTCATTTTTAGTTGCAGTTTTTATTTATCTGTCATTTGAAAACAAAAAAATACAGTGATAAAACTAAATAATAAAAAGTAAAAAATTACACTATAGTCAAAACTATGTTAACAGGCAGCATATTAAGGCAGCATATTATCACAAAATCTATGGAAATTAATATTGCATCTGTTTTTGAAAAATAATGGTGAGAATTTAGCAGAGGTGTAAAGAGTACCTAAAAAACATACTTGAGTAAAAGTACAGATACCTTACAGTGAAAATTACTCCACTACACGTTACAAGTCAGCAATTCCAAAACAACTTGAGTAAAAGCCTTAGAGTATCTGATTTTAACAGTACTTAAGTATTTTACTTATACTAAATATAGGCTCAACTAGTCAAAGAAACATGCCCGTGAAAAACTGTAATGTTGTGGAGAAGCTGGGGGAAAAGGCAGAGGCAAGGATCTATGCGCAGGTATTTAATGGAAAAACTAGAACAAATAATAAGCCAAAAACCAAAGGGAACAATGAACAGAATGACTGGCAAGCAGACATCCATTAGGCCTACATTCAACAACTCACAAGGAACTAAAGAAAAACTAGGGCTATATATACACACAGGGGGCTAACAAGCTTAA